CCATATCAGTTGGGATCACCAATTTTATGTTCTCACTGCTACATGAAGACAAAGGAACAAAATTTTGGTCTTGCCACCTTGGATGCATACCATGGAGCATGAGGATTTACACGGTTTCTTTATTATGATAAAGGAAGTAGAAAGGCTCTCATTGTTGATTCGTACAGGGATATGAGTTAGAGCCTTCCTAATAGCAAGCCAAACAATATTTTCTCGTAACATCTCGGTGTCAGTAGGTATTAGCTTGAGAGTTACGGTTAGGGAGGATGTTACCTTATGGGTGATTTGTAGGGGAACATCATGGTGTTCTATAGCTTAAGAGTTTGTTTGTTGTTGACAAGCTTGTTGCTCGAAGAGACTCTTTTCAGTCTTTGTAAGCTACTGACAGTACAAGTTGTCAATACCTCTATCTGTTCACTGAGATTTGAGGAAAGCTGAAGAGTTTTTCATGAAATGGCTGTTGGATATATTTTAAATTTGTTGCATTTGCCATGAGAAATATTTTGGCTTGACCTACTCTCAGTGTGGCAATTTGAGTGTCCAATATGTATGCATAGTGTATGACACTAATCTCGAATGGATGTGTTTTAAATGTTTCTACAGATTACATTCTATAATCATTGTGAAGCTAGAAAAAGTTGACATTATTACAATCAAATTTTCATCTGTTTTCTTCCTCTTGCAATTTGTTTGGACGAACTTACTAGTCATTAAATGATAGACCTCCCTGGTGGAATTAATTATAAACTTGAGCTAGAAAGGCACTCCTTAGAAATTAAAGGTTTAAGATTAAGTAGGACTAAAATAGAATATATGAGCTACAATTTTAATAATTCTAAGAATAGATAGGAGAATATAGTTAAGTTGGATGAACAAGGAGTTCCTTTAAGTAAAAACTTTAGGTATTTTGGATCAATCATTCAATAAGATGGAGGTATCGATGAATATATTAATCATAAAATAAAAATAAGATGATTAATATGGAGAGATGTGTCAGGAGTCTTGTGTGATAATCAGATACCTTTGAGATTAAAAGATTTTTTTTATAAAATAATTGTGAGACCAATAATGTTTTATAGATCTTAGTGTTAGGTAGTTAAGAAACAATATATACAAAAAGTTTGTATTGTCGAGATGAAAATGTTGAGATGGATGTGTGGAGTTATTAGGAAAGATAGGAAAATAAGTATTTTTGTTCGTGAACAATTATGTATTGTTTTGATAGAGGATAAGATGAGAAAAAAAATGTTTAAGATGATATGAGCATGCGCTTAGATTTCTGGATGTGATGGTCAAAATAGGTGAAATAATTAATGTTAGTGGTATGAGGAGAGGTAGAAGAAGACTTAAAAAGACTTTAATAGAAACTATAAATAAAGATTTAAGTATTTTAAACTTAACTAAACATAAAACTTCTTTTGATCTCATTGGTGGTAAAAGATTCATGTATCCAACCTTAAATAGTTGGGACTTACATCTTTGTTGTTGTTATTGTTGTAATCTGTTTGGTTTTCTTTCTTTGTGTTGTTGACACTAAAAGTTTATTGCTTAGTTTGTGTATTGTACTTTATAGTGTTATCTAATGTCCTAGAAGTTATCCAGGTCTTGTTGTCACCAGTGGTGCAAAAGGAGATGACAAACTTCTACTGTGGGATGCTTTGAGAGGTGAACTTGATGCTGATCTGAATTCAAATTTGAGGTAACAACTTTTTTGTTTTCATGTTAGGATTGCATTTCTGCAATCTTAGTTTGATTTACATGATTGATGACTATCAGTTTGATTAATGATGTTGCACTAAAGAGCTTGGTGGCGGCACAAGATCTATTTAGCTGACATCAGTAGTGGGATCTTATATCGTAATTTTTGTGCTAGCTTAGTTTTGCTTATTCTTTTTTCAAAAGCTTATGTACTTTTAACATTTCAAAAGTTGATAATGTGAAATCATCTATTTCAGTTGCTAAACTACCTCCATTATTCCATTGCAAACCTAACTATTTGTAGCATTTCTATGTGGAATGCATCTGTTATCCAACAAGTAGGTGATGGAAGAGGTGAATGCATATATAATTAGTGCAGATGGATTAAGTTATTCGGTTACTTCAATCTATTGCTTCATCACTTGGTATCATCTAGCTAGAATGTAAAACTTTATGTCAAGCAATACAATCAGCACTTTTGTTAAATAAAAATGTTGTTCAGTTCAGAAAATGTTGAAAAAGTACTTATAGCATATAAATATAATCATGGTTCAATTTATTCTCGAATGGTATCTCTCTTCAAGATTAGGTAAATCCAAAGTTTAATCTTTGAATAATAATAACCTAATTTGGGGGTTTAATTTAGGGTCTTTATCTTTGTTTAGTTTAATGTCTTAATTAGGGCTTCATTCATCCTTGTGCATGAAGGTTTGATCCACAAGGATCCTTGCCAATCTAGACTTGATCTGTTGCCATTTCACATCAATCCTTGTGGATGGAGGCTCGATATGTTTTCATTTCATCTTGATCCTTGCGGATGGAGGCTTTCTCTGCATGGATCTAAGATTGGATTTTGCAAATTTAGTTTAGCTTAGATCCATGTGGATCTAGGTTCGATCCTTTTGGATCCAAGGTAGAGCCATTTTGGATTGAGGCCTGATTCATTTAGAACTGTATAAATCTAGCTTAGATCTATGCAAATTTACACGCTAGATCCATTCTAGATTGACGCCGATCAAGCTTTATTTGTTAAAGGTTAATTATTGTTATGATTTATGGATCTGATTACATAGACAACTTTTTGTATGAGAATGGCCCCAAAGCAGCAAAGTTGCCAATTGGCATGGTTGCAAACCCATCGATTGTCCGATAACTAGTATCAATGATAGTGCATCCATTGTGATTACATCAAAAGGGACAGAGAAATCACTCACCTAAAGCAACATTTGACGAGAAGATTTCGTGATGTATCATAATGCACAAAGGTGCCCCAAGTGATAAGAAAGGCATTCAAAGCAGAATTGGATACGAGGACAACATTAAGGTTATAAGAAGCAAAATGGAAAAAGTATGAAAGGTGTGCTATAGAGCCTGCAACCTACGATAAGTGAGAGGGTCACAGTGTTGATGTCAACGTTGACCCCAAGCTTGCAGCCAAGATTTGGACATCAATGGATTATTAATACATGTACAGGGATTGTAATGAGATATCGGTTGACCCAGTCAACATATGAGCATGACAATGGCAGTAACAATGGACCATCATAGGTCTGTCAATTTTCCTTAGTGAGGCAGACAATTGCTACCAGTTCATAGGCCTTCAGTATTAGTGCGACCATGAGACAGCCAACAACCCAACCTCCGTTGGGCAAGACAGATACTACAGGCATGCCAGCATAGGAGGGTTCATTGGTTCCTTTGGCAGGAGATCAACTCCTGAAATTGTTTATCTCATTCCAGAGGAAAAATAATTTCTTCTGAGCTGCAAAGCTCAACCGGCTTCATATAGAACTGAACAATCCTCTTTTGAGCTATAAAGGGGGGCAAGCCTGTCCCTCTAGTGGATCACTTGGTTCGGGGTGGTTTGCAATCTGGTTCGCCAGCGGACTGGTATGTACGTATTGTCCGCAATATAGTTAACGATGTTCTTTTCTACTCTCTTTGAATTAAATCACATGGCTTTCCGGCAAACTTAAATGTCATATTTTACCAGTATGAGCCACCTTTAAAAGTCTTCTGCAGTTTGTCCTTGATTAGTGCTCTCCTAACATACTGTGTACTTTCATCCTTTATCATTCCTAATAATGTCAATAATCATCTTAACATTCTTCTTTAATTTTCACTAACGTAAAAGATATGCTGCTTCATTTTGCCCACCATTTTGATCTGTAAAGCAGGTCTAAAGGATACCAGATGCATTTGTCCACTTTACTCTAAATGCTTCCTTTATTTTATGACAATTGAAGGAGACGTTTTTCTCTTTTGTACTCTCTGAGAACATAATTGAACTGTAACTTCATTTCGTGGAATGTTGCTGAAACTGTGTATTCTACCTTGATTTCTACTTATTCTCAAGTTCTCGTCTTCTAAAACTGTCCTCATCTTAACTTAATATTTACTCTTGCTTTACGTTGATTAATAGTTTAATACAATGTAAAGCTTCTGAAGAACCATTTTTTACATACCAAAATGTAGGTTTTAACAACCTGATTTAGCTATTTGGACCTTTGCTATATATGATGAACTTAATATCTTAATTGGACACCATTTGACTTGATGAAAAACTCATAATTCAAGTTGGGCTAGTGATGTTGCTAAGTTTTTCACTTATCTAATCCTTACCCAGGACATTCTAGTTCATAGAAGAGCCACATACTTGTAGAGATACACAAATTATTGATTGAAATATTCACTATGATGTTTGAAACACTTGACATCTGATCACGAGGGTCAACTGGTTTAATAGATTTCCTAAATTCTTTTATGAAAGAGAAGCTTTTGCTGAATAAGTTGCCTCATTGGTTTTCTCCTCCTTTTGCTGTTGGATAGGGGTGGCAAATATTTTAGAACTCTGTGTCCAATCTGGACTGATTGAGAAACCTCGAGTCGGTTTTTACAATTACTTGTCCAACACTTGGGTTCAGATGTTAATTTTTTTCTGTTTCAGATCCAAGTCGGGACCAGGTCTAACTATTTGGACAAATCAGGTCCACGTACCTGATTTTTTTGGGTTCAGGTCCAAAGTCAGGCATTTTGAGTTGGACCAGCTGGTTATTTGAAGCAACTCACTTTATTTAAACATGTATCTCTCTGCATTTGTGTAAAAAAAGTGAACACAAAGAATAGTACATTTCCCTGTCGAATGCTACTCTTTTCCTTTCTTACAAAGTGGCACATCTAGGCATCTTCTCCACCACCAGGAAATTGGACTTCCTGTCACTGTGACATCTGTCCCATCTCTCTCGACCAAGGTTTATGATCAGTGAAATCTGCGTAATGCCTTCCTCACCAAAGCAGTGCTTCTATTTCATCTCTCTGCATGGAAACCTTGGCCGTTGCCTTTCCTTATCCTGATGAAGCTTATACTTATTATATTGTGCTCTGATTTTGGAGATGCTTGTTCAATTCGCATCTGAGAGTTAGGAGGTAGGACCTTCACTCTGATCATCTGAAACCCTTTCAAGGGTTTCATTTTTTTCAATTTAGTTAATTCCTGAGCTCTTCTTGAGGTTTTAATGTGGGTTATTTGCTGTATTTTTCTTTTTGTTTGATTTTAACATGGAGGTACAAGTTAACATGCTGCAGGTGTTTTTACCCCTCTATCTGCTTGTGTTTCCAATTCCATTGGGATTAATTAACAAATGGTTGTGTAATTTATTGTATGTTGACTGTTGAGAAACTTTTTCAGTTTCTTCTTTGAACTTTTTTCTTTGTGATATCTGTTTATAAACTTCAGATTAAATGTTTCTGATTGTTGTTTTCTAATCTAATGAAACATTTTTTATTGTTGAACATCTTGTATTTACTGTCTTGTATCGACACTCGGTGATGCCTAATAACTTGTTGATTAGACTTGACTTAGACACTTGGACCTGATTTTTTGCCATCTCTAGTGTAAGCATTGAAATAGGGACCATTTTTCTGGTCCTATGTCTTATGTCAGAAGCATAACCGGATTAGGTTATATTGCTATTAATTTTAGAACAAGACACTACCTTTCCTCATAATTGAGGTTGTAGCTTGTGTGATTCATGTTTAAACATGGGTGGTTACTAGTTAGGCAAAACTTTTATGGTTTTTGAATTTATAAAACCTTCCTGATTGCCTGAAGTTTTCAAACCACAGGCACGCGTGCACACGCATGCACACACACACACACACACACACACACATATATACACATATTTCTGTGTTTAAATTCTGAAAGGGGATTCTTTAAACTTTTCTTCATATTATTCCATCTTACTATTACTTGTTTCTTCTGAATCTCCTTTTGGTCCTAGACATCTTCTCTAGCTCTTTTCTTCATTAGCAGTTAAAATAGGTACCCAAAAATGGTATATCTTATATTTTGTTTAGTTATCTGAAGCATACTGATTTCTTTAATGTAACACATTTAGTACTACAGTTCTTTATTATGCTTGTTTGCTACACCTATGTACATGAATGTGCAAATGTGCACTGGCTAATGGCTGTGATGTTAATTATTTTCATGCTGTTGTTTTGTTCTTATGCAGTTTAAACGAATTGTGATAACTTTTTGGGCCACTTGTTTTAAGATCTACTAGTGTGCCTTTCCTCACATAATTGCAGAACGAGAGACCAGGTTCATCCTTTGGTTGTTGCAATGGAGTTCTGCAGTGAAAATATTCTGGTGTGCGGAAGTGATTGTGAATATAGTGGTTCTGCTATCGTGCAACTATGGGATATTGAATCTGCAGAATCCTGTCTTTCATTCACTGCAAATGATTCTGTAGGTTGTTTTTGTTTGCACATTAAAGCATTCATCTGTTTAGTTCACTAATACACTTTGCTTGCATACAGTATATTACTTCTCTGAAGGTAAATCCAGCTGGCAACACTATCATCACAGGTGCGTTCTGTTTTATAATGATGGTGTCAAACATATGCCAGCTCTCATCTACAGGAGATTTAATTCTTCCTTGTACCTGTATGTTTCTTGTTTTGTTATATAGGTGCTGGCGATGGGACCATTGGTTTGTTTGATGTCCGGACATGTGGTGCAATCAATCATCTCTCTGTGGGGTCTGGTTTTGAGGTAGTTGCAACACTGAAAGATGTTGGCTATATATAAAACTAAGTTTACCTCTCATCATTTTTTGAACTTGTTTCATTGTTCCATGCAAAAGGCACAAGCAATAGCTTTTTTAGCTAGTGCTTCTGTTGATCTATTACATTGATCAGTTTGTATCTGTGACAAGTAACATTTAATTAGTTATTGATTTCCTAGGATGATCATGTAAACACCTCACCTCTGACTAGTGTTAGGTGCTTTTATCTCTCAATACTGCTGTTTCTCAAAATCTATAATTTACATTTGTTCTTTATCACTTATTGTTCGGTATACTATTGTCCAAGCACAAAACATTAGTTGATAATCGCTTGTGTTTTGCTGGAAATAAGGATTACAATTGTAAAGCATGATTACTTAAATTTTGTCTGTTGAGTTGTAAAACATAAACTTGATGGAACAAGATTACCGATGAAGCTTCTAGAAATTAAGCAAATGCAAGACATATTTTAGAATTACAAAACCTAAAATGTGACTTGAAATGCAAAGTAACTGTCTTGTGATCATGTGTGTAAGATCCTGAACTGCCCTATAACAAATGCTTAGTGCTTGTTGGCATGGAGTGCCATATAATTCCATATAACTTGGTACAGATACTACATTTCTTATCTGTTGATGAAATCTGACATTAAGCATCACAAGTTGGGTGTTACATCCTGAATTGAAGTGGACATCAAGTGTAGCAATTATATAGGTCAGTATGGGTTTGGTATAGGTTGAAACAGGTATAATATAGGTCTGTGTTGGTTCAGACCCTGTTCCAACCTAGCCAGTCCAGAACCTACCTTGTTGTTCCATTAGAACTCTTTGCTTCATTAACATAAATTATTTGATAGCCATTGATTCATAGGACTCAAAATTAGTGTATGTGCTAGCAATTGGATCACATGGGACTAGTAACACTAATAATAAAAGAGTTGGTAGACCTCCTAGCTCCCGATGCCACTCATGGTTTTAACTTTTTAACTTTATAGGGTGGAATTATATTTCTTTCACTAATTAATATTTTGTGTTCTAATCATGAGACTATCATATTTGAGGTTTTTAATTGAGTTACAATGTATTATTGTAGTTAGCTTGGCTTAGTAAGTTATCACATATTATTTTTATTGAGATATTACGATTATGATACATCATTGTGGTCATATTGCTACATTATGATTGAAAACATTGAGAAAAGAAGAAAAGTATTTTATTGGAATGATATATTTTGCTAGACCAACAGAAACATTTGTCATATTGGCAGTTCAGTATCTATGGGAAAGGGAACCGGTATGGATCGGTTACATGATACAGACTCCTTGCTTTCTAGATTGGTTATAAGAGTATGGTTGAAATCATTGGAGTAAGACAAAACGACTGTTTACATATTTGAAGAAATTAACTTAGTAAAAAGGAATATGTTGGAATGAAAAGATCAATGTTTACTTGAAGCTACATTTTGCAATCTGGGCCCAATATTAACAAACTCTAACAAACATGTGCCTTTTTGGTATGATGATGTTTACTTATCTTTATGGCAGTAAGTAGGTTACATGTCTTAAACCAGAAATTAGTATAATATTGTTTTGTTTTTTATCTAGATGATTACCATTTAAGTGAGTGTTATTTTGTTATATCTTCAAAAGTTAAATATTGGTGCACGTTACGCTAAAATATCAGTTTTCTTGTTTTGTCCTTTTAAATTAAGATATCAGCTTTGATCTCAATGGATTAATAGGTACTCCTTACGAGGACAGGCCTTAAAATTCTAAATTGTCTAAACATTGCTGAATAAGTAGTATTTTATACTTCTGGCTGCCTGCCTAAATGTGGGCACCATTTTTCAGCTGTTATACTTATAGTTTTCTTATAAGTAAACTATTTCTTTGTTTTTTAATTTAAGGTTTCATTTTCTTTGTCACAGGTGACATCTGTTTCTTTTAGCAACTGTGGAACCTATTTTACTGCCTCCAGTACATCAAATAACACCTTGGTATGGGATACACGAATCTTGCCATTGAACCATGGGCAAATAGCCCATGATAGCAATGATATGCGATTCTTAAGACCTTTGCACTGTTTAAACCATGGAAAGCAAATGCCGACCGCAGAATATGCAGGTCAACTTCCTGGGTAAGTGTGCAAAACGATATAATTCCTTGTTTTTATAAAAATCAATTTGTAATTTTGCAAAAAGAGCTTAGGGGTTTGTTATTTAGTCGAAGTTAAATGCTACTTTTCTCATATTACTCATATCTGAGCCTGATGCTGATTGAAGTTTGTTGATATGAGCTTGGTGTCCATATCTAGGAAAAGTTCAATCTGACATATCTATCCGCGAAGTTGATGTAACATGAGTAATCCCAATGTCCATCTATTAGGTTGGTAGGCAATTTTACCATAAGAGAACTGTCAAGTGAATACCATTTTATGTGCAAATGGATACACCATCATCCTTGATAACTCTACCTGCTTCACCTTATTGTTCACAATATAGTGGTAGGCGGTTAGCCTTAGCACGAGTGGTATTGGGACCAATGTTGATTTCATTCTTGGTCAAGAGGTAGAAGCAATCAAGGATAAAACAAGAGAAAATTTTCGAGGGTTGGAACATGCAAAAGTACCATGAAAATGCTAGTTATTTTAAGTACATTTACTTAGAGAGGGAGCAGAAATCAAAAGACTGGATGGTTAGAGATTGTGTAAATGCATAATGATCCGTGGATGTTTTTGGAAAAGTTTCCCTGGTAACTAGAAAAGAACTGTAATCCAATCCACTATGAAATTGTAGGAAGTGAAGGATATTGTTGTTATTTCTAGTATCATTGTTATTATACTAAAATTTCAAATATGGTTTTTCAATATCTGACAAATATGACCTGGCTATGCAATGTGAATCATGTATTATAATGATTGGCATATTGTAAGAAGCTGTATTGTACACATACAATTATTAGTTTCAAATAATCATATTGCTCCTCAAGCTGCGGTAGTACGAGGTGTGACTTTTGTGTATTTTGAAAGGTCGAAAAGGGGTTGTAGACTGGGGGCTAATTTTTATAGAATCTGAAGAATTTAGTGGAGTTTAGTTCTTAATGCTAATTATCAACACTACGACAACGCCAACTTTCCAATTAAGGTTAAAAAACTTGTCCTGTGTTGATACCAGTTGGCCTTTGGACCAGTATGATTTCAGATAGATTGATGTCCTTATACTTCATATAGGACCTTTTCGCCCAGACTAGAGAGAAAGAGGGAGAAGAGAGGGAAGGAGGAGAATAGATGCCTGGGAGAAGGAAGAGAAGGCAAATGAGGAGGAGGTGGTGGTTGTGGTGGTGGAGAATGAGGCAAAAGATGAGGCAGTGGTGGCGGTGGTGACCCTTATGATGCAGCGGCATCAGTGATGCAGCGGAAAGGAGGAAGTGTTGGAGGAGGGGATAGTGAGAGAGAAAGAGAGGAAATATGTGAGAAGAAGGAAAGAAAGAAAAAGGGAAAAATAGAACAGATAGCTGTCAGCAAATAAAAAGAATTTGATAAGATATTGGATGGTAAGTTTACTGTCCAATACACCCAGTTTCAACCATAAAAATTGGGTGGTACACCTAGGATGGTTGTCATTCCAGGTAGTAAGCTTGAAATGAATTTGTAGTCGGTGGAAACTAGTAGTCCACTTACTAGCTCACGGTTGGACCAGTAGTTACCGACCCATACTGACTGGTATGTCCAGTTTATATAATACATTGGTCTCATTAATGAAATTGGGTGGTACACCTAGGATGGTTGTCATTCCAGGTAGTAAGCTTGATATGAATTTGTAGTCGGTGGAAACTAGTAGTCCACTTACTAGCTCATGGTTGGACTAGTAGTTACCGACCCATACTGACTGGTATGCCCAGTTTATATAATACATTGGTCTCATTAATGATGCCTACTTAGTGTATTTTAGATTTTTTAGACTTGAGACTCGTAGGATTGGTATTCATGTCCAAGATATTTAATTTCGAATAATACCATCCAGTACGGGTGGTATGTACCGGTCTGTCAATAGATCGATACACGGACCGTCCGTTATTGGTCGGTATGTACTAGTCCGTCAGCAGATCGGTACACGGACTGCCCGTTATCGGATGGTATGTTATAATAATAATAATAATAATAATAATAATAATAATAATAATAATAATAAATATATATAAGATTTTTTTTTACTTTTATATATATTTATACTTATATAGACGACGTCGCCCTGCCTAGGGAGAAGAGAGAGGCGACGTCGCCGAATTTTTATTTTATATATATATATATATATATATATATATATATATATATATATATATATATATATATATATATATATA